AAACAAGGTTGCTCAGCGTCACGGAACCGGTATCAGGTTCCCAAGTGTTTTGCCAGTATTGGTTGATATCCAATCCGTACAGGCTGTTCAGGGACCGGAAGTTTTCAAAAGTGACATCTCTAACGTAACCAGATCCTCCAGGATACGTCTTGATGAAGGCGATGTTGTTGCCCTGGATAATGCTGATATTGCGAGCTTCCTGTTTCATATCAGTATCTGCCAAGAACTATCACGGATGTACAACTGATAAAACACACAATGTTGGATATTTCCGCAGATACGTTGAGACTGCCAATTGAAACACCAGAGCCTGCTTGGTTGCAAACCAGGTTCTCGACCAAAGCATGATGGGATGGACTTTTCACTGAGACACATTCGTCACGGTTTGTGACCTGTTATTGGTCTCACTGTTAGCCCCTGCTACATCGTGGATCTATGGACTTTCTACTTGCCTCGTTATCGTGGATGTAATAGTTGGTGCCGATGGCGTCAATCCCATCATAACTTCCTAGGTTAGCACCACGAATAGTAAGGTGGTATGCCTCCAAGTTCACAGCGAAGTCAAACACGATGTGAAACTTGGGACTGTCCACAAGGATCAAATCATGCACGGAGGCATTCGTGGGCGAAATAAGCCTCACAAGTCGAGGGCGATCCGTACTATGAAAGCTCATCAGCTGTGTTTAGGAACAGGATTCCTTATAACTCACTTGTCCAAGTTTCGATAGATATATCCTTGGCCTTGAAATGCGCCAAGCCCGTTGGACGAATAAAACTCGAAATCGACAGCTGTACATATTGAAAGCGAATAAGCCCTAGTAGTGTCTTATCAAGAGCGGAGGGTGAAACATACCGTTCACAATGACGAGCACATCTAGTAAGAATTTTCCGTCACCCTCGCCGTTGATGGTAGAGTTTATTATTTGCTCTCCAGCAAACCCTTGGAGTATCAACTCACGGTCGACTGTCCAGTTTCCACCATATGCCGCGGTGATCAGACCGTCAAGCTGGAATGCCCAATTGGTTCCATTACTCAGAACAACACTTCGCTTGATCAAATAGTCGCCTTCGGGGATAACAAGACGACTTTTGGGGTTGTTCAGCACACATTCGCTGAAAGTGGCTTCGATGGATGCTGCAACATCGGTCTGGTTATCGGCAACGCCACCATAATCTAGGATGTTACACTCAATATTCTTGTCTTCAAGACTCGTTGTTGGACCGACCGGGCCAATCAGCTGACCGACCGTGAGGCCAGCAAGCAGGAAGACGGGAATCAATGAGGTTAAACGCATTGAGAGCTTTGTAATGCGGTGGGGGATTTCTATCTTGCGTGGGAAGAGATATATATTTTAGATGGGAGGAGCATTCCTCGAACGAGGGTACGAAATTCGAATACGTTATTTATATATTCTTGATTAATGCTTCAACTAACATCATGCATGTTTCCAGTACTACATGATAGCTCTTTTCTGCGATGACACAAACTACCATAGCACAGAGTATACCAGAAGTCGACCCTGTCAGGCACATGCCTCCAACTTCAGCTTTTCTTCACGGGATTCCTAATTTAAGGGCGCATTGCAACATGAAAGCAATATATTGACGGTGTAAAGTATATGGCGTGATTAATTTATATTGATATGTCGACTTACGAGGTCATCATAGAAGAAGTGTAGTTTTGATAAGGGTGTTATGGTGTTTGTGTACCCGGGAAGCACATCATCTGCTGACGGAATTGCGTTGATGCAGCGGGTTAAATCGAACCTCCAATTACCCGAAGTCCAAGCATTGGAGCTCTTCCCATAGGTGGAATTTGCAGTATTTACCTTAGGTGCTAGCTCCTAGAGCTTGTGAGGTATTTCCTTATCCGCCCATGCGAGGGTAGGTGATCCTAGCGGGGTTCAACAGGGGTCTTGGAAAGCATCCCACAGAACTCCTTCTTGCTTTGAAACTTTGCATCTCTTACCTTCTTTATCCACGAATTACAAAGGACTTTGGTGCAGCCTTATCTACTTTGCTTCTTCCACAACAATGGCGAGTAAGAAGAACGTTCTGTTGTTGATCGCAGATGATCTGGGGAAACAACTCAACTGCTACGGGGACAACACATCCCAAACGCCAAACCTCGATCGGCTCGCAGAGCAGGGAACCAGGTTCGACTATGCATTCGCAAGTACGGCATCCTGCAGCGGTAGTCGCTCTGTCATCTACACCGGTCTTCACACCCACCAGAATGGACAATATGGGCTTGCGAGCCACCGTCATCATTTCGTGACATTTGACCACGTAAAGAGTTTACCTCATCTATTGAATGAAGCGGGTTACTGGACGGGGATTCTGGGCAAGATTCATGTAGGGCCATCTGCTGTTTATCCCTGGCAACTGCGCAAGGAGAGCGACACTCGCGACGTTGCTGTTATTGCCGACCAGGCCAGATCGTTTCTCGAGGAAGCAAAATCCAGCAACAGACCGTTTGCATTGACTATCGGGTATCACGATCCTCATCGCGACCGAACTCGAGGTGGCTTTGGAAACACGGATGACTATGATCCTCGAATCACCAAGCTTCATCTCGAACCAGAAGATGTTCCGATTCCCTCATTCGTCAATGATACCCCCGGTACTCGCTCTGAACTGGTCGAGTACTACAAATCAATTCATCGTCTTGATCAAGGTGTCGGGTTTGTGCTGGATGCTCTAAAGGAGACTGGCCTAGAAGACTCGACCCTCGTCATCTTCATCAGCGATAATGGCCCGCCTTTCATCAACTCCAAAACAACACTCTATGATGCGGGTGTCCGACTTCCTTTGATTATTAGACAACCAAACACCCCTCCTGCCGTTAGCCCAAACATGATCTCCTATGTTGACATTCTTCCTACTATTCTTGACTTTGTCGGTCATCCCGAGGTCACCGATCCAGAGAAAAAGCGACTGGGCCGATCTCTTCTACCGATTGTTGGAACTTCCAACGGGTTGCCAGATTTCAACCAGACGTTTGGCTCGCACACATTCCATGAAGTAACGAATTACTGGCCCACACGTTTCATTCGCGATCGTCGGTACAAATACCACCGCAATCTGGCCTGGCGGTTGGATTTCCCTTTCGCAGCTGACCTGTATGGATCCCTCTCTTGGGAGGATATCCGTAATTCAAGCGACACAAACATCATGGTCGGCGGACGGAAGCTAAGAGACTACTTCTTCCGCCCCCCAGAGGAACTTTACGACTTGGAGACGGACCCTAGAGAGGTTCACAATCTTGCGAAGGATCCAGCGTACGCAGCCGTTCTTGACGACCTCAGGTCGCGATTGGAAACGTGGCAACGCCAAACGGAGGACCCATGGCTGTACAAGGATGGTGTCTCTGTCTGGTTTGTTCGGTACCATTTACCAACTGGTTTGAAAATCCCCGATCGCTTGGACTTTGACCCAGAGAATCCGGGCAATAAGAGCGGACCGGTAGTCCCACATAATATCGCATGGGGGAGCGAAGTTACGGACTAGCTTTCGGTCAGTACCTTCTGGTCGAGACACATTCTACTCCTAAAGGCGCTATTGAAGTAAATGCAGATCTTGTCTCCTATTCTATCGCCAGGTGTCATCCATCTGTATAAATCTATCCCAGTCGAGAAGGCGTGGTGCCTTAATCTAGATTCATCCGTCGATATTATATAAGTGCTCTTCTATCTGGAGCAAGTTTGAGAATTGTGGTAGTTTATCTCAATAGGACTAATCCTATCCCTACGTCGATTTAATATGTAGTACTCTAAACTCGGCCTGGACAATGTCTGTCCGCGCGCCGCATATGCATATGTATGTATGTTATGCAGTATATGACGACGTGGCACGTTCTGCAATCGGGCGTGAAAAACTTAACACTCAAGCAGTACGTAGATGGCGTTATACGCCTACAGAGTGGCTGCTATCATGTCAAGAGGTGGTCATCTCCCTCAACTCACCTTCTGGGGCAAGCACGATGCAGACTAGAAATTTAGCAACAATTGAACACACCACCGCCACATACCAAAACATAAGTGCAGACACTGCAGAGATTGTGCTACCACAAAAGAGAACAGCTAACCAAGCCAACGGAGACCGTCCGATGCGGCTGCATAAATTAATGAATATATCATCCGCTTGATACAGTGACTACAGTTCAGATACTGTGACTATATTGTAGGTAATTATTCCGGTGTTAGAATTCATATGACCTGTCATCTTGGCGATCTACACACCTTCTGCATTGGCGCATCCGCGCATGAGTGGAGGTGATCAAATGGGTCCACGTAGCCGGCGGCTGCAGGAGTTCCAGCAAGAGAACATGCCAAAACAGGACAAGGACCGATTTTCTGCTTACCCCATAATGCATGCGTTTTCCGCACTTAAAGGTCGGGGTAAATAGTAGAGTATTACCCCACTGATCGTACCATGGGTTGTAGCTGAAGCCTCGCTATCTTGCAGTGGTTCTTTCGTAAGGACATTTTGGTCTATACCATGCAACAGGCTGCGTAACATATATAGGACCAGGTGTTGCATCTGGGTTTGGGGGGACATCCCTTGCTGTATTTTGGACACAACCATGGCCTCTCCTGGCTCTTTGCATACTGGTTTCTGGGGTTGTACAACAGCTATTCTGCTCGGATGAACAAGCTGCTACATCACATTCCTCGTTAGCCTTTAGTTGTGATGTTAGTCTGGGCTGTATGTGCATTTAGATGTGTTGGACCATGAGTTGATCGGCGGGCTTTGACCTCTTCCGCAAGGGTGGTTTTAACAGGTGAATGATTGTGCTGTAAGGTCAACCACATCCTGTCCGGCATGGGTGGTCGTTGCTGTTACTGTAAACCCCGGAGAGAGTTGATTTTCTGATAGACTAGGTTTCCGTAGTTGGTGATAGTCCTTGAATGGTTATATAAACGGAAGAGTACAGTGTCATTGAAAAGAGAAACATAAGCGACTTCAATACCCTATCAGTGATCCCATCACCTTGCATGATGTATCTTCTTCTGAGAGTCATTTCTTACATCTTGGCGGTTTTACCATTCCTCAGGACAAAGTTGAGCAGCCTTAAATCGACCGAAACGGCCACATCCTGCCCGTTAGCCATTGTAGGGGTGGGGGTGAGGCTTCCCGGTGGAGTCAAAACCGACTCTGAATTCTGGGATCTTCTCGTCAACAAACGGTGTGCTCGAAGGGAACTGCCGCCAGATCGGTACAACATCAATGGATTCTATAGCGAGTCGGGCCAAAGGGGATCCGTGCGTTGCAAGTATGCTTATTGCCTGGATGAAGATATTAGCAAATTCGACGCGGAGTTTTTCAACATCTCCCCTGTCGAGCTGGCCAGGATGGACCCACAGCAACGTCTCCTATTGAAGGTAGTCTGGGAATGTATGGAGAGCGGAGGTCAGGTCGCATGGCAGGGAAGGGATATTGGGTGTTTTGTCGGGGTCTTTGGGGAAGACTGGCTAGATATGACCCGCAAGGATTATCAGAATTTGGGTCAGGGTCGGGTTGGCGGCACGGGTGACTTTGCTCTTGCCAATCGAGTTTCATACCATTACGATCTCACGGGGCCCAGGTAAGTCGCGCACAGTTGCATCATGCCCGCTCCGTCAAAGAGGCTATGTTGCTGACGTATATAACCACAAAAGCTGCACAGTTCGAACAGCCTGCTCCCCATCTCTTGTCGGTCTCGACATGGCCCAGCGTGCCATTGCAACAGGGGAGTGCTCCTCCGCGATCGTGGCAGGTACTAGCCTCCTTCTTACGCCAACTTATACAATTGCCATGACCGAGGAAGGCGCACTGTGTCCAGACGGAAAATGTAAAACGTTCGACGCTTCTGCAAACGGATACGCTCGCGGGGAGGCAATTAACGCTATCTACGTAAAGAAGCTTGAGGATGCCATTCGCGACAATGATCCAATCCGGGGAGTGATCCGGGGGACGGGTACGAACAGTGATGGAAAAACTGCAGGGCTATCCACACCCAGCGCTGAAGCCCAGGCAGCACTCATTCAAGAGACTTATGAGCAGGCAGGAATCCCAGACACTTCGCAGACAGCATATATCGAGGCTCATGGCACAGGAACATCTGTTGGAGACCGAACTGAGGCTGCTGGGATTGCCAAAGTGTTTGGTGAAAAGGGTATCATTATGGGAGCGGTAATATTCGTCCTCTGTCAGCAGCCTTAAGATTTGCAACTAACAGCCTGTCGTTCTAGGTGAAACCCAATTTGGGTCATTCAGAGGGTGCTTCTGGACTTACTGGCCTAATCAAAGCTGTGCTTGCTCTCGAACACAAACAAATCCCGCCAAACATTAACTTCTCTAGACCTAATCCAGGCAGTATGACAAAACCTTCAATTTCCGTTTGTCACGTCTATGGCCAATGCTGATAGTTTTCTGTGTGCCTTCCAGTACCCTTTGAGGAAGCCCGACTCAAAGTGCCCACAGAGACGCTGCCCTGGCCAGTGAACCGCATGGAAAGGGTCAGTGTCAACTCCTTCGGTATTGGAGGCGTGAACGCACACGTAAGACACCGTCCAGTAAGCTCAGATATTTGCGAAAATGCTCTAATTCTTGTAGACTATTGTCGAAGCAGCCCCGTCCAACGTTCGTGGTTTGAAGAGGAATAAAGACTGCAAAAGGCGGTCTTATGTTCATGTTGTTTCTGCCGACAGTATGGAATCACTTGCAGACCGGCTTCACGCAACGAAGGAATATCTGGCTAACAGGCGAGTGCCCACAATTGATGTCGCATACACACTCGGTCAACGTCGAGATCACATGGTCTGTCGAGGCTTTGTCACTAGTGACGACCATGGTCAACCTGCCGTGTCGGATACGCGCAGAACCCCTGCGAAGGACCAACCCCTAGCCTTTGTCTTCAACGGACAAGGTGCGCAGTGGGCGGGTATGGCTTCCGAGCTTCTGTGGGCTTTTCCTTCCTTTCGCAGCAGCATAGAAAAAATGGATATGACCTTGAGGGTCTTAGAAGATTCTCCATCGTGGACGATCTTAGGTATGACGGATGCATCTTGTTGCTTCGCTGCAAAAAGCCTATCCTAAATAGTATCGATTTAGACTGTCTTGCAGATGCAGCTTTCGCATTCTGGACCAACAAAGCAGAGTTTGTACAGCCTCTGTGCACTGCACTTCAGATTGCACTTGTGGACCTATTGGCTGCGTGGAACATTAAGCCAGCTACGGTAGTGGGCCATTCCAGTGGAGAAATAGCTGCAGCTTATGCAATGGGAAGCTTGACAGCCGAAGAAGCAATCACAATTGCTTTCTACCGCGGGAAATTTGCCAGTTCGCTCCCGATTGAAGGAGCCATGGCTGCCATCGGTCTGAGCCCATAGGAGGTTGAAGAGTTCCTGGTGGAGGGGGCAGTCATTGCCTGTGAGAATAGCCCTCACAGTGTGACCATCTCCGGCGAAGTGGAGAAGGTAGAGGCAGTGGATCACAAGATCAATCTTGCGCGGCCGGAAGCCTTCTATAGGCGTCTACAGGTCAATATTGCGTATCACTCCCGTGAGTTTCATACCTACTTTGTACATTTTTGCCAACTATACTGAAAATAGCGGTATACAGATCACATGAAAGCTATTGGAGAGGCATACAGAACCATTCTCGAGAAACTTGTTGGAACTCATCCACCCCTTCCATATTCCACAGTGAGCGTAGATTCTCAGTCAGGTCTGCCTCAATTGGACGCCGCGTACTGGCAGAGGAACCTAGAGTCTCCTGTGCGCTTCTGCTCTGCGGTTCAGTCCTTACTAAAAGGTGAAGAAGGTGCCGTCTTCGTCGAGATCGGGCCGCACTCAACACTTGCCGGCCCCCTCCGGCAGATCTTTTCATCTAACCGACCCCAGTCTATTGTTACGTACATTCCCACACTTGTAAGAGGAAAGAGCTTGGTTAGCAGTATGATGGCTACTGCGGACCATATCTTTACTCTTGGAGTAGACGTCAACCTCGGCCTTGTCAACGGGACCGAGAACGAGACGGTTCTCACTGACCTTCCCCTATACTCGTGGCAGGAACGCACCGCATACTGGGAAGAAAGCAGAGTCACGAAGAGGTGGAGGTTCCGGACCTTCCCCAATCATGAGCTTCTGTGGTCATCGGTGCTCGAAGCCAGCGATTTGGAGCCTGCATGGAGAAACATCCTTCAACTGGAGGATGTACCGTGGTTGGAGGACCACCGGGTTGGTGGTGATATTGTCTTCCCAGGTGCCGGATATATCGCTATGGTGGGAGAAGCTGTTCGAAGGGTTACTGGAATCCATGAGTATACAATTCATCGGCTGCATATGAATAATGCTTTGCTACTTCATGCAGGGAACCCGGTGGAGCTTATAACCAATCTCAGACCAGGAAGGATCACGAGCGTGTCAGACTCAGCGGCTTTTGAGTTCACGATCTCCTCGTTCGCCAATAACCACTGGACGAAGCATTGTACTGGGTTTGCCAGGGCCGGTCGATGGACACAAAACACCATCTGCCGTCTTATGGATGCTTTGCCTCGAAGAGTCAACCCGACCGTCTGGTACCGCGCCCTTTCCGCGCTTGGCTTGACATACGGCCCAACCTTCCAGGGCCTAGAAGACATTACAGTGGATCCGACAGGGGGTAATGCAACAGCCACGGTAGATGGAAACTTTTCGCATAGCGAGTCGTTCTACCACATCCATCCCACCATCATCGACCAGTGTCTGCAGCTAATGATCTTGGCCAAGTGCGGTGGCAAGCCACGGAAGATTGGGCGGCCAGTGGTACCAAAGGCAATGACCGAGCTTCAAATTGCACCAGTGAGCCAGGCTCTTCGAATTCAAGTATCAGTTGGTGCAGCAGATGGCGACGTACTTGACGGTCGCATAATGGCATTCTCAAATGGGCAACCTGCTCTCCAGATGGAGGGCTGCACATTCAGTAGTCTGGACGTGCAGGTGAAAGTTGATGATCTTGCGGCGGCGCAGATGAGGTGGGCTCCTCACATTGATCTGGTGCGGCATCAGGATCTTTTCGAGGTGATGTCTAGCAAAGATGCTGTTGTTCTGCTTGAGCAACTTACTGTTCTTTGCGTCCATGAAGCTTGCGACAAGCTCCGATTTACAGCCGTCGAGGTCGAGCACTTCACCCGCTACAAAAGCTGGCTGGAGGCGGAAACGACCCGCCTTGCCAATGGCGAGTACGACCATATCATCCCCGAGGCCTCTCAATGGTCAACATTGGATTCGCGACAACGAGGTTTATTAATTAAGGCAAGATCCGTGGAAGCCTTGTATAATGAGCAATCAGCACCACTGAGCTTGGCTATCGAATCGATATTGGAGAATATTGAGGGTCTGGCTAAAGGCGAAGTTCAACCGCTGGAGCTCCTGACAAAGAATAATGTGCTGTCAAACATATACACTGCGAAGAATCAGATGGACTCGTTCTTCGCGACTATAGGCCATACCAGACCTACAATCAAAGTCCTTGAGATCGGCGCAGGCACTGGCAGCACGACGGCGAGGGCCCTCAGGTCGCTTGTTACTGATGACGCGGTGCGAATGTACTCACAGTATACATTTACAGATATTTCACCTGGCTTCTTTGCTACGGCAAAGGAACAGTTTCAGAATTACGAGCAGGTGGATTTCCGTGTTCTCGATATTACCAAGGATATCGAGGAGCAAGGCTTTTCACCTCACAGCTTTGACTTGATCATCGCTGACAATGTGAGACCCATGTTTTACCTATGTCTTCCCTTTCAGTTTTCTTTCATCGGCTGACATCAATGCAGGTCCTACATGCAACCCCCTCACTTCATGCCACGCTTCGTAATGTTCGACGGCTGCTGGCTCCCGGCGGTACACTTTTCCTACAAGAGCTTTGCACAGGTGAGCCGTGAAAATCCCAACGACCTTCTCGAAGAGTAGCTCAGACGTTGCCAGAGATGCTTTTTATAGGTTATATCATGGTAAGTTGAGAAGAAATGCTTTATCCATTCTGGAACTGATTGGACGAATAACATATGCCAGGGTACACTTCCCGGATGGTGGTTGGGGAGCGAAGATGGACGCCAGACGAGGCCCTATGTTCCCGTCCAGAGATGGGACGATGAACTACGGAAGGCCGGATTTACGGGTGTCGACTCCGCGATCTTCGATGACGAGCAGCCCTACCATGTCAATGCCTACATCATTTCTTCTCCGGTGGCAGTCGAATGGGATGCTGCACGCACCCCAGTCACCCTTCTATATCGATCCAAGATCAGCGCCGCAGCAGGCAATATCGAACGAGTTCTGATAAAGAAAGGTTACAGCGTGTCATGGCAAAAGTTGGGAAAGGATATGCCAGCAGGGCAACTTGTAGTTTCGTTATTGGATCTAGAAGGCCCATTTTTCCACGGAATCGCTGGCGAGGACTGGAACGCCTTCGTTGCCTATGTTACCTCGAGCGAGTTTGGGAGCATGATCTGGATAACGAAGAACTGCCAAATCCACTGCAATGATCCGCGCTATTCATTAGTGTTGGGAGTTGCGCGCATTGTTCGATTCGAGTTATCTCTCGACCTTGTGACAGTAGAAGTTGATGAGTTTTCTTCTCAAGAGGCAGCGGAGAGTCTGGAGAAGATCATCGCAAACTTCCCCGCCCAGAAAAACCGAGACGGCGCAGATATTGACCCGGAATATGCGATCGTCGACGGCACAACACAGGTTCCTAGATATTTCCCATATTTTCCAAGCGAGCACGTGGATGATCCGGAAGAGGGCACTGGGAGGAAGCTATGTATTGACAAAAAAGGATCGCTGAATTCGCTGTCCTGGGCGCAGACCCACTCAAGGGAATTGGACGATTATCAGATTGAGATTCGTTTGGAGGCTGTTGGACTTAACTTCAAGGTAGGCAGAACATACAACCGAGTGTTTTGTTAACGACCCAATGGGCAAAGTTGACAACTTCTGACAATATGTTCTACCTTCAGGACGTGCTTATTGCAATGGGCATCATCGGTGGATCCAAGACCGCTCTAGGACTGGAAGGGTCAGGAACGGTTACCAGGACCGGACCTGGTGTGACCCGCGTCCAGGAAGGCGATCGAGTGATGACCGGGGCTTCAAAAGGATGTTTCTCTAGCAGAGTGATTATGACAGAGAGTCTCTGTGTTCGTATTCCGGACAATCTTAGTTTCGAAGACGCTGCCACCATGCCGAGCGTGTTTTTAACCGCGATCCATTCGCTCATTGAGCTTGCGAAGTTGCAAGCGGGAGAGGTATGTCTTTCCCCGAAGTAGTCAATTATACTGACTCCCTCAAACTAACAACTGATCCCAGACTATTCTCATCCATTCAGCTTGTGGGGGCGTTGGCCAAGCCGCTATCCAGATCAGTCAAATGATAGGCGCCGAGGTTCGTCAAGCATATAGGGGTAGCAGCGCCATGTAAACCGGTCTTTGAAGCTGACGGGACTTAGGTTTATGCAACAGTTGGGAGCGAAGAGAAAGTCCAATTTCTTACAGAAAACTTCGGGATCCCCAGATCTCAAATATAAAATTCACGAGACTCCAGCTTCGCAGATAAGGTCCGGCACGATACCGATGGGAGAGGAGTGGACGTGGTGCTGAACTCGTTGTCTGGAGAGTTGCTCCACGCATCCTGGCGGTGCGTTGCCAGCTTCGGAACAATGGTAGAGCTAGGCAAGCGTGACTTTCTCGACTATGGAATGCTCAGCATGAACGAGTTTGCAGACAACCGGAATTTCTCCGGTGTCGATCTATCCGTGTTGATCGACAGAAAGCCCCACGTGATTCAAAGGTAAGGGAATATCTCGCGCAGGTATCATGCAATTTGCTGACCATTCTATGACACAGGTATCTACAGCAATGCGCAGACCTTCTCCAACAGGGTCATCTGAAGCCGATCTACCCCAACCACGTGTTCGATGCTATTGACGTGGTAAAGGCATTCAGATACATGCAAGGTGGACAGCACATTGGGAAGATAGTAGTGAAAATGCCAGAAGGCCCGGAGCAATTACCCACAAATATTGCTCTTGAATCTACACCACTCTTTGCTAGCGACAAGTCATACCTCCTTGTCGGTGGCCTTGGTGGACTAGGTCGAGCTGTCTCAGCGTGGATGATAGAGAATGGAGCCCGGCATCTGGTTTATCTTTCCCCTACTGCGCACACCAAGCCCAGGACGCAGGAGGTATTCCGCGAACTCCAAGCGTTGGGTGGCAATACAACGCTGGTTACAGGAACTGTCACGGACATCGAGGACATCAGGCGAGCAGTAGACCTTAGCCCTCGACCAATCGCTGGTGTGCTACACATGCCAATGGTGTTACGGGTAAGATTTTCTGGAAACACAGTTTACCCTGGCAATAACCACTAACCAATGAGTTCTACCAGGACCGATCTCTGGTGGACATTACAATAGAAGACTGGGAGGGAGCGACCGCACCCAAAGTACAGGGGGCGTGGAACCTGCACACAGTCTTTGACCACAGCATAGACCTGGACTTCTTCCTCCTCATCAGTTCCATTGTGGGCCATCAAGGGAACTGGGGGCTGACCAACTACGCTGCTGGCGGCACACTCCAAGATGCCCTCACGCGTCATCGCCGAGCGCTGGGACTGCCGGCAAATGTGATCGACGTCGGGGTCATGGGTGAAGTTGGCTTTGTCAGTGAAGACCCCGCACTTTTCCAGAAGTTAAAGGGTGTGAACCTCTTACTCTGGGAGAGCGAGGTTCTGCAATCTATCCGGGTGGTTTTAAGTCAGCAGTGTGCCGCAAAGGCCGCAGGAGCCGAATGCTCCGGTGGCATCGCCGACCTCCTTGTCGGCTCCATATCCAAAACAAGGGGACTCAATGGCCTTGCGAAGGACGATGTTCGAGTGAGCGTACACCGGAATCTTAGCACATCTCGCAGCACCGCCCTAGTCTCGGGCGACAGTCCACTGAAACAATTTCTCAACAGAGTAGCTGCGAACCCCGACATCTTGAACGACGACTCAAGCCTCGAGATTGTGACTGGTGAGATTGTAAATATGGTTTGTTCAATCATGTCCCTGCGTAAGGAAGACATGGATGTCACCTCCTCGTTGACTGCCCTGGGTCTTGATTCTCTAGTCAGTGTCGAGATCCGCAGATGGTGGCGGCAGAACCTCGGGCTCGAGATCAGCGTGCTGCAAATCACCTCCTTGGGTTCCGTCCAGCAGCTAGGTGTGCTGGCCATTAATTCACTTCGGGAGAAGTACCTAGGGGATAATTTTTGACCTGGCGTCTACGGCATGAATTGCAGGCCTGCATGGCAATCTCCTTACGAAACGGACGCACGCCCAGTTCTGAGACATGCAACTTTCCTACGGTTGTGCTTGGATGATAAGGGCTATTTTCCGTGATAATGGCTGGTTCAAGGCCGCTTCGAGGCTGCGATGGAGTCAGGCTCTGCCGCGCACCCACACATAGCAGATTCGGGAACTACTAGTGCAGGGGTGTCAGACCAGGGACATAAAAACAGCTTCAGAAGATTTGGAAGATTCTCATACTTACTGACATCATTTAAGGCACCAGCAAAGCTTGGGACTTGGGGTTAAAAATTCGGCCCTTCTCATTGTTCTGAATAAATATCTAAAACCCATGCCCCGGATTGTCACTAGCTTGAATATATTCAAAACATTTCAAAACACCTCGGAGATGTAGCTGTCATGGAATAAGTCATTCAATAAAAGTTCGTTTTCCGATTTAAAAAGCTGTCCTTAAAGAGATCTCACATCAATTTTGAATATCTTCTTATATAAAAAAAGGCATTTGATACCAGACCTCATAATGATATGATCCTCGTGTCTTTGAGAAAATGTTGACGACCATGTCATCTCAATTCTGTGCTCGCAATCACCCTCCCCGAAAACCACACGCCTGCCTTATCACCGAAGTAGGCTGTCTCCGGATTGATAAGGGGGACAACAACCAAAAAGGCCGATAAGTCAATCTTTTCCAAGGCCTCAAAATTTCAGAACGAGAAGAGAGTAGTCCCACAATCTATATTGCTCCTTATACCTTTTTCCCTTTTCAGGTACAATCTGCAGTAGCTTGCCCGCGACTGCCGGGGATTGATAGCTATCAGTTTCCACTACCTTAGCATAGCTTTTTCAACATGCTGCAAGCACTTGTCCAGATCTACTTTGTTTCACAGCACAGCCCCATCATGCAGTTCATCCAGTATGAACACCGGGATTTGCAAATATAGGGTCCCAGCCCCAGATGGCGACTGTGAGGGTAGGCGGATGGGATAAGATCTTCGCCGTTGCGGCCCCGTCCCCGCGGGAAGCCATTATCTCCGAGTCTGCAATATACTTTAAGCTTACGCGTTTGAGAAAGATCGCCAGCACTCCCTCCATCGAATATCTAATTGCGACACTGGACGCATCATCCCTAACAACCCGACCATGGAAGGGACGCAGTTTCTGTATGAACATAAAATGAGAACGCCCTCGCCCATAATTCCTATCAACTACACTTCGCTCATCATACAGCAAAAAAAGTCACTCCCTTAACTACAAACCTTGTCGCTCTTTGAAAATTACATTCATTTGACCTTAATCCTTCTACCATGCACTTCCTGTCTCTCGCAGCACTGCCTTTCCTGGCGTCAGCAGCCACGGCCGCGCCTACCTGCAACCGCTCGCACCTAAACAGCACCGTCGGTCTCTAGACCGTCCAAGAAGGCGACACCATGGCCAGCGTCTCCAACTCGGTAAACCGCGGAATCTGCGATATTGCCCGACTCAACCGCATGGCCGATGCCATGATCCCCTTCTTGACAGGAGAACATCTGCTCAAACCCCCGGAGACATGCACCCCCGACAACTCCACATGTCTGCTCTTTCCTAGCCACAACGACAACTACGCCGACTGCGTTTCCGGTGGCCCTCACCCCTACTACACCGTGAAGGGTGACACTATCCGCACTATCGCCCTGAGACTGAACATCACTGTCGACGCCCTCTCCGCAACCGCTCAGGGTGGAGTCAGTGATCCTGACGCCCTGGTGCAGGTGAACAATGAGCTGAAAGTCCCCCAATGCAGTCCTAGTGCGTGTGAGCTCGAGCCGTACCAACTTATTTACGGCACCTACAAAGATCTAGCGGACAAGTTTGGCTCCACTGTGGGCCAGATCATGGCGTTTAACCCGACGTATAATCACTCGGATGTAGCTAGGGGTGAGGGTGCCGTTATTATTTTGCCCAAGAACTGCAGGAGCTTGGGTGATAATGTTACTGTTATTTCTTAGGCATCGAATTTTGTCGGTGATGCTGTAAGGAGGATGGGGGTGTGGATAGAATGTGTTTGTACATAGTGTATGTACTATATTGTCTTTCTTGATAGATTATTTATTTGGACCATTGATATGGTGAGTTGTCAGACGTTTTCCTGGCCCCCATTATGCTGCTACGTCTTTTCGTGTTCATAAGAACTTAGAAGTGCGGAAGATTTGTGGTATATTTGGCTGGGGGGTGGCCAGCCGCACAAGGTAAGCTTAGTACTGGGGAGCTATTTAATGTTACACTACCGGAACTACCATATGAGAGTGATGAGAGGATTTGAGGAATAGGTAGTTTTCTGTTCATTCATAGCCGGATTCTAAGAATGCTATTCACGGCCAGAACCCTACTCTCAATCCCAACACTAGTAGCTGATCTTAACAAGAATGACGCAGAGTAGCGCATCATCACAAGAAACTTGTGACTAGCAACGCCGCTCAATCGAAGCGATACAATATCCATCACCCAAACCGATCATCAATGATGATATTCATGTAATGATCCAACGACATGTCAGTATCGCACTCAACGATCCGCAGGCATCGGATAGCTATCCTCCGGAGGAGTAGATGTATATCGGCATTCCAAGCAAACAACATGAATGCAGCGATTCCTTCCGCCAACGCTTTCACCTACTGCGGATGGTGGACCACTGCACACATAGTGACGCACGATGTTGTCCTGTCCACATTTACAGCAGGTCCATCCCCTATCACACATGTCCTTCGTCACGCAATCCTCTCGAGTACAGAGTGCTCCAATGGTGGTAAAATGGCGCGTGCTGTGCTCAGAGCACGGCTTACATCGTCTGCTGCCTTGCACTGGATGTGCTTTTGGGCAGTAGGTGGTGATGGATTGCCAGATGTGGCCACAACGGTGGAATCTGATGGAAGAGTAACACATTGTGCTTCGCCTTTTGCGAATAGTATTGGCTGTGGACGGGTCTTGCCGAAACTGGACCTGCGCTAGAAATTTCGATAGTGGGTGTGTTGGTGTTGGTACTTTAATTAACCAGGCAGGATAAACATTTATACAGCAATCGAGTGAGAAGAATAATCATCTCTCTTGCATTATTGTCGGAATATTCCGAAACAGAATTTTGATCAGAATAAGGTGGCTGCCGATCACGAGGGGGCATTTGCCGCAACAGTTACAGTTATAATCTTCCTCAAGAGTTCTGGTCGCTGCTAACCTATGGTGTGGTTCTGAGCACTTCACCGAACTGAATGAGTCAGAGGTGTGTAGAAGGAGGACTATAAATAAGTGTACAACAACCCTCTCCTGTTTGAGTAAGTGGTTGTGGTCACTAGGTTGTACATTCCACCGAAAGTGAACACATTGACTCGCCCGGTCGCCATTCAACAACCTACATGCTAACAAACCGCCGCTCTTGCGTACCAATCACTCTTTGCACCAATGATTTCTGGTCAGCATATAGGACCCAAAATGACAGCCCCAAGTCCCGTCTGGGCAGTCCAGGACATCGTCTATGGTAAACATGATATGTGGGCGGAGCTCGACATTCCATGCAAAGGCAAGCGTTTTCGAATAGAGATTTCCCCCGAGAACTTCGTCAACTCGCAGACATCTTTCAGCAAGTATGCACGATATATTAACGACATGTTTGACCGAGGCTGCCAAACCACATACAATAGATTCTATGACTGGGTTGTAGCTCCATTCCTTCCTAATCTTGCTGAAGTTCAAGCCCCGCCATTAGATAGAGGAGCTTTCACACTTCGTGATTACCTCGATCCGGAAACATATTTCTTGAAGCTTTACTTTGTCGATGAGAGGATGGAACCCCGGTTCGACTATGATGTTCAAATGCCGCTACGCGAACCGGGTGTTTACATAGGCGACGTGGCCCTTCACCCCGGTTGGAGCGAATACACACCAGAAACAGTACAACAGTGCCTCAGCGACGGTCAATATGGATATTCTAAGCACCCAAGGAAGGTTTGTGTCGATGGAAAATTATGTTTCTTCAAGGAGCCCCGCAGCAAGCGAGAGCTCCTCCGTGAGTTGGACGTGTACGAGAAAATGGAAACAAAAGGACTGAGCAACAATTCGCAAGTACGTGTACCTCGGCTTATCGGTGTGGTATATGCTGGTCAGCACTGCCGTCATGCTATCGGTATTTTGTTATCGTTGGTAGACTGCGACAATCGTACCCTTTCATGTGCACTACATGGTGAAGTCACAATTGCGCAGCGGAGGAAATGGGAGGAGCAAATTACTACGACTGTGGAATTATTGCATGAGGCTGACATTATTTGGGGAGACGTAAAGCCGAACAATGTGTTGATAAACAGGAACGAGGATACATGGGTGATCGATTTCGGTGGTGGTTACACGCCAGGATGGGTGGCGAAGGAGCACATGGAGACAATGGAAGGCGATAGAGACGGCCTTTCGAAAATCTAGGACAGAATATACTGGCACGATGGAAGTGAGGGAGGAAAACTAGCCTGACAAGGAGAGGAGGCGCATGAGAGAGGGATGAATCAATTTTGAGCGGGACGTCGATTCGGCTAAGATCCAGAACTCTACTAGGGGTATAATTCTCTCATTGACACCTTTTAACATGTGTCAGGTCATTGGACACTGGTAGTCACTATTAGTAGGTAGTTCCAGTCAAATGAACATGATTACTGCGTTTGTTCAGCTAATTCGGCTGCGGTGTGTGAGGTGTCATCTTGCCACTTCGTTTCAATTTGAGACCCGAGAAGGGTGCTATTAAGCATGGATACTGAGTCCCTCCATTTAAGTACGTCTCCATTTGAGTACGTCTCTATTTGACTACGTCCAGCAATGAAGGTATCTAGCTCACTTTGCCAGCGCTGCAAAGTCCTCCAGTTCAATGACGAAGAACATGGGGCCGTGAAAGAATGGAAATGGGGCAGGCACGAGGTTATCTTTGACAAATTTGACCCGGAGGGGCCTAGGTTTGAGGATAAGGAGCTTCGAACGCAAGCCATTTTCCTGGATTATGATCTCTTCGACTATTTTCCTGATCTTCCTGTCCTGTCGGCCTCTAGTGCATCCGGATGTGGCATGTGCTTTGCCATCCGTGAGAAGATAATCCAACTCGAACGAAGGGCACACACCAAGCACAAGAGCGTGTTGATCTGCAAATTTTGCTTTCGTTATACGTTAAGTGACTCAAAGAGACCCTTTGATTTCTTTTCTACATTATCACATCTCGCAGTCCATTCAAATTGATCGGGGATCGAGATTATGACAATTCAAATACTGTCAGCTTTGATGTGCAGGCCGAGACAAGTCGTACGCACTCCAATAAGTGTTGGCTTATTATGATACACACCTCTGACCTACTAATAGACCCATGCAGAAACTGGCTTCGCATTCAGAGAGCGCCTGTACTGCATCCTCTGTCTGATAAAGGCCGGGCCCAGTTACGCAAGCTGGCAAAGAAGTCATACAAAACATCCAAAGACGCACATCTTCCTACCCGCGTGATAGATGTTGGCTATTGGGTAACTCGTTCAAAGATGCGCCTAGTGGTCAACCGAGGGTCCCACAAATGGGCAAGCCGAGGTAAATATGTTGCTCTCAGCTATTGCTGGGGCAGTGAAGAAGATGCCGCAGATCAGCTCAAAACAACTAAGGCGTCGTTATGTGAAAACATGAAAGAGATTAAAATGGAATCTCTGCCGAAAACAGTCTCTGATGCCGTTCTCGTTTGCCGGGCAATGCGCGTGCGATATCTTTGGGTGGATGCACTGTGCATTATACAAGACAGTCAAGATGACTGGGAGAGAGAATCAGCTAAGATGGCAGGAATATATGAGAACTCGTATTTTACCCTGTGTGCCTTGCAGGGCAATTCATGCCAGAGCGGGTTTCTCACTCAGCCACAGCGACATCTCGTCAAAGTCCCTTTTCAGTCAACTTTAAACCCATCGATATCCGGCTATTACTACATATACCATGTCATGGGGTACTACAGGAAGAGTATGACAAGTCTCTGCTTGAGGGCCATCCTAAAGACCCAGATTTGTCACAAAATCACGATCTTGCACAATTTAAGCAATCGCCCTTTGACTGCGATCTGAAAGAAAGTCAATGGAACACTCGTGGCTGGACTCTTCAAGAAGCGTTGTGTAGCCCTCGTCTACTCCTTTTTGGCACACGAATGGTTCATTCGATTGTTTTGCGACTTCGGCAGTCACAGGGTGGGTCGGTCGATATTGTGTCTCAGCCATGGGGCCAGAATTTTCACGTGGATGGATGCCAACCATTATGCCTATTTCCACGTGGATGGCGTATCATGATTGAAAGATATTCCGCTCGCCATTTCTCGTATTCGAGTGATAAATTACCAGCAATATCTTCATTGGCCCGAAAGTTTGCATCACAGACCAAGGGTGAATATTTGGCCGGCATTTGGAGTGACGAGCTTGCAGAAGACCTTCTCTGGGCCCCCCAAGGGCTTAGAACACTTGATTCCTTCTTGACACCTCCAGAAGAGTATTTGGCCCCCTCATGGAGCTGGGCATCCCAGTGCAATCCAATTGAATGGCCTATACTTTACGACCTCAAACCTGAATGTCGAATCGCTTCCATAAGAACAACAACGGGCCTGGATCGATATGGGAAAGTACAAAGCGGCTTTATCACACTGCAGACCAAAGTGTTCGTGATCCCTTCATCAACGAAGATGCAGCGCCGCCGAAAAGCAAGCCTCGGCAATAATGTCGAATTTCCGTATGAGCTTACATCAGCCGATGGAGAGTACCTTGCCCATCTTCGCTTCGACTGGACAGATCTTACAATTAATGATGATAAGTTCCTTGAAGCAAAACAGGAAACTACCCAGCTGTCCATGGTGCTAGTCTCGAGGAATGATTGTCACCCTAAATATCCTGGATCTCATGATTTTGATGGTTCATGGCGCTTTTTGGGCTTACTTGTGCTACCGACAGAGACATCTGGCAGTTATCGGAGAGCAGGAATCTTCCTCTGTGGACCCCGCGACTTGCAAGGCCCGAAGTTCTGGGATGGAATTGATACAACTACAATTACGTTGTTGTAGCGGGGTATTTGGAACCTTTTTTTTCAGGAGATATAACGTGAATGAGGTAGATGTTAAGCAGAAATGCTATGAGAGGAATACCACTTACATCTACCCTACCTACAGCGCCATGTACGGTGATAATAGATGGGTAGCTCTTGCCTGTATTAACCTCTGTCGCAAATATTTTCATACGTTCACTACGGGCAAACATAAGCCTTCCGCCGATTGATTACCATCTTTCTGTGGGAAGGGATGTATAGTTTGCCAAATGTATACAAGTAGGCAAAGAGAAGTCGGCAAATTGTGAAAGCTTGGAAGAGACTGCGCCGCGCGGGATAGGGCGCTATATGCCACGCTACAGTATGGCACTAAGAAGTAACAAGAAAGTCCAGTAGCTCATCGTCTGGCCAGAAATTTTCCGGATGTTAGTGGTAAAGCAAGGAACCACTTCGAAGCCCGGATACTCAAGCTACAAAACCGGTTATGGCTGGATGTCAAGATGGCGTGCGAAGTATATTGGAGATAAGTTCCGTGTGTTATTAGCCAGGAACGGCTATAGAGAACGAAAATTAGGAAATGATAGGACCAGAGAATTATTTTCACCACGTTATCGGAAAATAAGACAGACCGGACATGTGGGTACTACTGTGCTCCATTCCCCGGAATGTAACCGAAGTACACGCTAGCTGGGATTCCGATAGGCACACGGATAGTATGAGTTTCGATGTGTTTCCATGGACTTGCGAGATTGAGGTGAAAATCCTTTCATTCTACAGCAGCGGATTCTCCCGACCTGCTCGATCAACCGTGGCTGTTCTAAATTCGCTGCAAATCCAGCCATAGTGTTCTTCACCAACACCAGGAATGCGTCGTATGCATTTCCTATGGCGGTCTACATGCCTGCCCAAGATGATTCTACATCTTGGGTTTCAGTACAATCTTTGTGTAACTTTGAACTGTGTTGCTGGGTCGGCAGCACCGTCGGAGTCGCCCGACTATCCCGGAAGTGGTATGATGGCCTCCGTCCGACGCGTCGGCCATGACCAGGGCCCCCTGCTTAATGGGGCTTGGCGACACGCTATAATCTTATGGCTTGCCTTGGGCGATGCTTGATGCTGCATTAGCACAATTTTGGATTGATGGACATCGGGCGCACGGCAGGTACTGCCATGATCTGTGTCAGTGAAAGCAAGGTGCCCGTATCCTGAGGTGTGTAGTAGATATAGGATAGATAGTTTTGGTTACACAAGTGGGAATTAGCATCCAAAGCAGGAACTTTAGTTTGCTAGCGGAACCGTGTTACTGCCCCGACCTTCCTTTTCGAATCATGCTGTTAGTGGCCCAACCGAGGAAGTTACTCTGTGCGATTAGGAGTAAGAAGTGGCGTTATTGTACAGGGCAGGCTCGGATGTATACCCTATTATACCAGATCTGCGTGTACTGTGTCCATTCAGCAAATAAGAATTTCTATCACAATTGAATTAATAACCGATTGTGTTCACCGTGAAGCATACTGTGCACTGAGCGCCACAACAGATACGATGTCAGGATACTGAAAACCAGCTGAGGCTACTACGAAGCGCGCAGGATGCGTGACTGCGACGGTGCAGATCGCTCCGAGCCTTGTGCTGCGCGAATTCCTACCAGTAGGCTGCTCGGGTTCCGACACCAGCCCAGTCGTAGGATAGTGAATCCTACCGCAGAGCCGAGACGAGGGCGTGGGTTTTGAGTTTCCTGAAGCCGAGGGACCGGCATGCATATGGACAGCATATGTTACTAGACTCGAATGCAACAAATAGCGCAATGGATTTGAATATCATATGCTAATCAACGCTGCAGGCGGAACCGGTTTGGATGGCTGTCTGCGTGGATGGGAAGGGGATGATGCACTGTGGGTCGCAACTCACTCAATGAGAATCGCCGATGAAATACTTTGTTGCGATCCACCGATTTAGTGCGATGGAGGGAGCGGGGGCGAGAAACGCGGAGCACCAAAAGGAAACATGGTTACGGAAATGTTGTTCCTCCCACTTGAGTCTCGACTTATCTGCGAATGAGACTGCGTGGGATGATTCATGTACTCACCTATGGTCTCGAAGGCGTTGATAGAGGAATATTGTCCATCTGACAGGAGGGAGAATTGGCGGCTATAGAAATTATCCGGACCATAATGTGCGTGAACCTTGTTGAGCCGTATCATACTTCTTCCCCTAGACGCGATGTCGTTCCTCGGGTCGACATTAGGTGTGGCGTCGGGTTGCATCGGGAGGCCGGGATGCGATGCCAGGCGGCACAAGAGAGACGGAATAGCTGCATGGTTCCAAGCCGATAGAGGTTGGTCGTGTACGGATTAGCTTCGCAGCCAAGAGGCTGGACACCTGATTGCAAGGATCGACCCGATATCATCCTCAATACCATGAGGGAGAGCATCTGGCAGCGACTAAACGGACCATGACGTTGGGGAAAGATATCGAAGCGCAAAGTGACGTTGTCAGTTGACACGCGAGCTGAGCCCTGCGTCATGGTGGAGGAGAAGGACATTTTGGAATTGCCGTGGAGGGACGCGGAGAAGGGACTGGGGAAATGGAGGGTGAAGGAGAAGGAGGTGGACGACTGAGTCTACTGTTAGTGTTAGTAGCAGACTACTCTTACTTTGGACTGTGTAGGATCCGGCCAGAGAAGGGCGGCAGAATGCAGGCAGAAACCAGTTGGCCGCCTGACTAGACCTAATTGGGAGGATTGCCAGAAACATACTGCGAAATCATTGGTCTTCTCGTGGGTGAAGCCCTGACGTCATGGGTCACCGCCGGCCCCGGCCGACAAAATGTCGTGCCGATCGGGTTAGCCTGAGCAGGTGACCGTGCATTGCTTTTCCATCTTGTACTACAACGGACCGTGTCCACTCCACAGCCTGTCGCGAAGTCCAGGGAAACCGCCTGCATGGCTACTTTCTGAGCCATTCGAAAAATCCTGTCCTGTACCTTGAACCTGGCACATCGGGCTGCACCTCGGCCGTGTGGTATGTGTCTTTCCGACCTTTTCCCGCCTCGAAGGAAACCGACCCCAGTCGTCGCCACGCAATCAGTACTCTCACACAATCACAACAACCCCAACACCTCCGATTTAGATGCATATCCTCTCGCCGCCGTGGCCAATTAAACGGAATTTGCTGTGGTTAATACAAAGTACTCTTGTACTTAGCATGATGGTCCGAGCTGACCAATTTAGGAGTCCCCGCCTCTGATTAGGGACCCCAGCTCCTCGTCTGACGGGCCGGAACTATGACGCCAGCGAGGGGAGAAGACCTCTTCCGCCGAGCCCCGACTGCCATCGTTATCAGGCTTCTTTAGCGAACGGCTTCTCGGTTTACCCTTTTGGGATACCCATCCTTTGCCATTTGCTAATGAGACTCCCATGGGTAAGCCCTCACGTCATGCCACTGATGGCAGAGATCCGCTCCGCACTTCAGGGTACCAGGTGCCCCGGAGGAAGAATAATGTACCGGGGTGCAGGCAAAATAGCTTCCACAAGAGATCAGCGATCTATAAAGACCCCTCACATCCCATCTGGCAATCAATCGTCACTCCAGCATCATCCTCAGTCCAATCAACCTCCTCTCCTTCTCATCTTCCCGAGACACTGATTGATCTATTCTATTATCTTTATTTCTGCCTTCTCCACCCCGCATGACAAGGGTTCTCACACTGTCCTAGGGTGCGCCTTCTACTCCATCACCATGACGGCAACTGAGCCCACGCCGCAGAACAGTGCCCCTGCCGATCAGAGTATGTTTGACGAGAAGAAGAAGTCTGGCAAGACAGACGATGCTCTCAGAAACCTGACCCGCCGATCGGAATCGGACGATCCCTTCGCCCAGCAGGCTGAGCATGCCTCGCAGCCAACATCTGGAAGTGATACCGATCTGTCCAAGACAGAGCGATCTGACGGCAAGCGGGAGCTAACTGAGGACGATTGTTACGACAAACTTGGCTTTTGCTTCCCTTGGTACAAGAAATGGACAATCCTAACTGTGATCTTCATGGTTCAAATGTCCATGAACTTCAACACGGGCGTGTACTCGGATGCTCTCACTGGCATTGAGAATGAGTTCAATGTTAGCGCTCAAGCGGCCCGTGTCGGGCAGATGATCTTCCTGGTTGCATACGCCTTCGGTTGTGAGTTGTGGGCGCCCTGGAGTGAAGAATTCGGGCGCTGGCCGATCATGCAGCTCAGTTTATTCTTAGTCAATATTTGGCAGATCCCTTGCGCCTTGGCACCTAATTTTGGTACCATCGTCGTTTGCCGTTTCCTGGGTGGTCTGAGCTCTGCTGGCGGTTCCGTCACCCTGGGTATGACTGCAGATATGTGGGAAGTTGATGACCAGGGGTTCGCGGTTGCATACGTCGTGCTTTCTTCAGTGGGCGGGTCTACGATTGGACCCGTCTTTGGTGGATTCATTGGGCAGTACCTCACGTGGCCATGGGTATTCTGGGTGCAATTGATCGTCGGAGGCTTCACTCAAGCTCTGCACTTTGTGTTGGTTCCTGAAACTAGGGCGACCATCCTCTTGGATCGCGAAGCTAAGCGCCGCCGCAAGTCTGGCGAAGATCCCAACATCTACGGCCCTAACGAATTGAAGGAAAGTCGCCTGAGTGTCAAAGAGGTGTTGAGGATCTGGAGACGTCCGTTTGAGATGTTCATTCGCGAGCCCATTGTCCTTTGTTTGTCACTCCTATCTGGTTTCTCCGATGCTCTGATTTTCACCTTCACCGAATCCTTCACGCTTGTTTTCGATCAGTGGGGCTTCAACACCCTCACCAATGGCCTGGCTTTCTGTGCCATTCTCATCGGCTATGTCATCGCATACCTTATTTTCCTGCCGGATGTCTGGCGGCAACGCCAGATCCGCAAGAAGGAAGGCAATGCTGCCCGTCTCGCTGAGCGCCGTCTTCTTCTACTCCTGTTCCTAGCTCCCCTCGAGCCCATTGGCCTGCTGGGTTTTGCATGGACGTCTATCGGCCCTGCCTATGCTCCTTGGATTGCTCCCCTCATCTTCGCCTGTCTGATCGCCATCGCCAACTACTCCATCTACATGGCTACGATTGATTACATGGTCGCTGCCTACGGTGCCTATTCTGCCTCTGCGACCGGCGGCAACGGGTTTGCTCGTGACTTCCTCGCTGGTATTGCGACCATGTATGCGACTCCTCTGTATGAGAACATTGGCGGCAAGTTTCACCTGGCCTGGGGCAGTACCCTGCTGGGGTGCATTGCCGCGTTGGTGGCCATTCCGATCTACATCTTCTATTGGAAGGGCCCCGAAATTCGTCGTCGCAGCAAGTTTGCCCAGACGCTAGCCGCCGATCGCGAGAAACATGCTGGTCGCCGGGCCAGTCGACTTCGTCGCGAGTCGCAGCCGTTCCCTGTTTAGCATCAGGATTATATTACGAGAATTTTTCATTACATATTACGCGGCTACGAGCACATTATATACCCCGCACGCAATACATCTTTTTATCATATATATAACTGTCAAAAGTATAGTATAGATAGCTTATACCCCGATTGTGCAATATAACGTCTTTGATGACGAATTTCTTGGACTTTCTGCGTGAGTAGCGACGTAGGGTCTCGGTTTTTAATTGATAGGCCCGAAGTGATGCCATCCTGGTGGGAAATCACCCGGCGGGCAGGCCATTAATAATCCCGTCGGACGTGTAAGCTTTCTTCCTCCCACGTTTTCCTCCCCGCCGGTTCCATCTGCCGATGCCCCGCTTCTGCCGGCCTTTTTATACCCGCCGGTCCCGCCTCTCGTCTTCACCACTTGACAGCTGTTAACTCCCTTAGTCGATACACATATTCATCATGTCTTCCCCCAAGATCACCCTCTACACCAATCGCACCTGCCCCTGGGCTCATCGCGCCCACATTGTTCTGCAGGAGCTGGGTCTTCCCTTTGAAGAGGTCACCATTGACTTGGACACCCCACGCGAGCCATGGTATCTGGAAGTCAACCCGGTATGTCCGACCTTCATATCCACCTTCTACCAGTATTAGCTAACTCATGTTCTCCATAAAAGCGCGGTCTCGTTCCCTCCCTCTCTTACAATGGTGAAGTTATCACCGAATCCGGCATCGTCGCTCAATTCCTCGCCGACGCATACCCCTCCCACCTCGTGCCCCCTTCAAACACCCCCGAGGGTGCTCTGCAGCGCGCTCGCATCGCCTTCTTCGTTGACACCTACTCCAGCAAAGCTGCCCCACACTACAACGCCGCCCTGCGCGGTGCTACCGAAGCCGACCGGAAGGCCGGCGTTGAGGGCTACGTAGCTGCTATCAAGAAGGAGATCGAGCCGCTCCTGTACCAGGGCTTGGAGGGAAAGGAGCACGGACCTTTCTTCGGTGGTAGTGACAAATTGACTTTGGTGGAGGTGCTGCTTGGATCGTTCCTAATCCGTCTGCACGCGTTCGCGGATAAGGAGGCTGGACTGATTGACCCCGCAATCTGGGAGGGATTGGCGGAGGCGAAGAACTTCAACCGTTGGGCGCAGGCTACTCGGGAGCATCCTAGCGTCAATGGTATCTTTGATGCTAAGGCGTGTGCTGACAGGACGAAGAAGAAGCTTTTGGCGAACAGGAAGTAGATGTTATGTTGAGCCATTGTTAGGTCGATCGCAAAATATATACCTCCAAAGAATCATTACAAAATTCTTCAAGAGCGAATGCATGTTTAAATGCCAAGACGTGGGTATATTACATACAAGTCTAACTAGTAGTCTCATGAAGGGCACAATACTGGTGAGAAACGATGGTATTGTTCGTATAGTAGGCTGATCAGGTGACTGGGAGACATTCAATGTTCTCTAGTATCGCGTTTTTTCAACACTCTACTCCGTTGCCATCACACCTTCAACCTTGCATTGGCTTGGCATGTCTGTCATTCCTTGGCGAATGTTTTCTTCAATATTGCTTAACACTTCTACTTGTCAAGGACATCATACTCAAGCATATATACACTCGTGGTATGTCGGCCCAGGGAAGCCTTCATGGCCACCCCCGTTCATGCAGCAAAACCAACAGCTCGGCTCACTTCGCGACAACTGTCCACCACCCACCCACAATCAACACGGACACAACCCCCGCAAGGATAAATACCACCACGTCAGCCGAACCTGGCATCAGCGACGTTGCAACATACCTCCCCGAGGCGCCGCCCAGGATGGCCATCCAAAAGACAAAGAATCCGACTTCCCAAATCTTAAGACGCAGCTTGGAATGCCTCACCTCCTTGTTGGCTCTCATGGTCGTTCCCCATGAATCGTGGAGCACTGTAAGAAAGCTCCATACCTGAATGGCGGGCAACGGCACATGATAGAACAGATGTGCGGGAAGACTCCACATCCACTCCTTCATAGTTGGTCGGTATGGATTACGAAACACAAGGTAGGAGATTGTCAGTCCCAGGCGATGGGTGTAATCCTGGAATGAGAAGGCTCGAATTAGGAGCATCCCAGAACAGAGGTACAGGACAACAGTCAGGGGCACGACAAAGGCGGCAAACTGTCGCCGCAGGGCGCCGAAGAACAATATCGGAGAGTGCATCAGGTACACGCTCGGTCTGTGGAAACTTTCGACGTGCACCGCTCGGCCCCAGCGAACCTGAGCATATTAGAATGATGCCTTATCATCTGGCCGGGGCACATTTGTTTGGACACATACCTGCTGCAATAGCCACCTCCTGAATGTTGTGGGTGACTCAGTGGCAGTCATAACGTCGGATGCGAAAACCACTTTCCAACCTTTTAGAAGGAGACGTGTGGTCAAATGTCGATCCTCGTTCACAACCTGCACGGTCAGTCTATGCTGATATCATGGCGTGGAATACTCACCATCCAATGCCCGAACACACTTTGCTTGTACCATGCCAGCAACTCTCCACTGACTGCAGAAAAGCGAAAAGCAGCAGACGGTCCACTTTGGCAGTCATTTGCAGCAACCGCGCCAGTAAAGGAACGTGCCAGATACAATTCATTCAGGTAAACCGCATTGCCAAGCTGTGTGATAACTGTTTCATCTTTGTTGTGGATAGTGAGTGCCGTGCTAGCACCCCCAATTCCCGGATCTGCAGCACATGTTGCCATCGTACGCGTTAATGTATCGGGCATCACAATTGAGTCTGAATCCGATGTCCACAAGAATTCGATGTCGAGGATATCTGAGAGCACCAAGGAGATTATGAAGGAGGTGAACATGATTCCCTTCTTGTGCATGTGCGGCTGACTAACACACAGTTTAGAAATCCCCTTCTCGCCGACCAGAGTGATACCACTCTTCTCGAGAGCTGCTCTGGCGACGGAACAGCATTGAGCAATAATCTCAGCATCCGTTGTCTTGGAGGATCTTGCTCGATCCATCTGCATGGCAATCTCTGCTAAAGGGATATCTAGGTGCATCAATGCAGACTTTTCCGTGTAAACCTGGCCAAGGAATGTTAATAAACTACTACAGAGACAGAGGATGATCACCTACATCTTGAAAGACTTCAACCATCTCCCGATCCTCTTCTGCATCCCCGTCGATACATACAAGAAGGAACCTGCAATTCTGGGCATGCGAATAGCTCCCCAATGCCTGTTTCCACAGGGTAGGCTCCTCCCTATACCCAACAATAGCAGCAACGCAGTCCAACCTCTGCTCGCTTGACTTGCCCTTCTCAGCAAGGCCAAGGCTACCGTTCTCTTCCTGCAGAGCTGCATCTCTGCGTCTCTTGTTGTTTCTCCATCGACAATACTCGGCCAGAATTATACTGACTATCATGTCAAAGGTCAAGGGTTGCTTAAGATACATCAAGCCATAGAAGTATACCGCGGCCGCAACAATACAACCAAGGAAATTGAGAGTTCGTTCGGCCAGGGGCACCAACCGCTGACCAGAGCCCATGCCACTGTGTGGCTTCAACGGCTTGGGTAGATAATACATGATGGAAAAATGTAAGGCTCTTAATAGCACAAAACGGTTCAGGCCGTGAGACCGAAAAAGCGCCAAAGGAAAAGTATTCTCTCAAGCGTAACACGAAACTTGTCCTACCCTCTTGGTTGTAATATATGTGATTTGAGTCAGTGCCTGGCCATGGTCCAGGTGGCAATGCTAACCTCATTGTCTAGAACAGTCATGAGCCTCAGCACTCAGTCTTTGACGGCTCATGGCGTGTCAACTTAGTGCTGATGCCAATGCATCCTACCATCCATTCATGTTGGCAGGATGGTGATGTTTTGTTGCGCAGTCCCTGCACATGGCAGTGATGGAACTTGCCGTGTGAACGATCGGCCCATGCTGGAACAATCTACGCGGTCTTCAGGCGGCCGCGGGTAGCAAACTTGCATCCTGTGTTTCAGTACCTGTACACTGGTTATCACATAAGCGTTAGGGAATGAGTTGTCAAGGCCAAAAGAATCATACTCATCCAACTCGGTGGAAGCTACGATTTTCCACATTTAATCTGTATATGGGTTTACGAGTTCTGACCTCCTCCGGCATTTCAGTCGCCAACCGTGATTCTGAGCCAACAACAATTATTCATTGGGATTGGGTAAGGGCATCATCTTTCTCGGAAACTACGCCCAAGTCAGCAATGAATGCGGCAGGTACGTCTTTCCATCTTGTCTAACTCCTTCGGGTTCCAAAGTATATGGCTCATTGCCTATTTCCACGTTAATATAGTAATATATTTGGCTATTTGCTAATCCTCTAAAGGAATCACTTCTGTCCGAAGTGACCCTAGCAACATGGACAGAGGCATCTTGAGCAATCTGGTTGGCTACGCAAGAACCCGTTGACGATGTGCCGAGGACACCGATATACGACGAGGAAGATGATAGATCTGTGATCTGCATAAGCTGCGGGGTTTTTACTATTTACCTCGTATCCAGACCCTGCTGATAGGTTAGTGCTTATCTCACTAGCAGATAGATCATGCTGGTCGCCACGAATGATGCAGCCTGGACTTAGTGGCTTCGGGATTTGGTATCGGATGGCTCCCCGTCGGACTACGGAGCATCATCTCCGGGATCTTCACATACCCGTCCTATCACGAAGAATGTCACCAACCTTGTGATCCTATGTCGGGATATGCTAGGTACCACACTGCTTTGTTACTTAATAGGTAGGATCTGTTTGCCGACTCAATGCAAGATCGGCCGTGGCAGGAGTCCGAGTTGTCGGGGCTGCACCTCGGCCATGCTTCTTAAACCCCCCACTCGACCAAAGTATTACAGCACACCTGATCCTCCTTACTCTAAGTACGTTCCCCAATTCCCGTCATATACTCAATATGACATCAGCAGCTTCGGCCAAAGCTCGACAAAATTGGCTGGATGGCCTGCGAGGCACGGCTGCGGCTTTTGTCGCCTGGTTCCACTTCACGGTGGGAGAAATGAGAGCTCCCTATCGATCATTCTGGGCTGTCCCCGCCGCTGAAAATCACCGCTTCTTCCAGTTACCGCCATTCCGCTTACTGTTTGCCGGGCAGTCAATGGTTCTTCTCTTCTTTGTCATCTCAGGCTATGCCGTGTCGACCTCCATCATACGTCTCCGTGATGATGCCCCGGCTCAGTTCTATCGAAAACTTACATCTTCCGTCTTTCGCCGTGGTTTCCGACTTTACATTCCCGTTTTGATCCTTTGCCTCATCTCCCATTTGGCTTATTACATGGGTCTGATTGACTGGACGCCGGGTGATCAGGAGGGCTGTCCCGGAGCACAGCCCTGGTCAGCGCTGCAACCTCATCTCAGTTGTCTTACCATGACCTTCCTGACGACTCTTCAACTAAGTGGACCGTTCTATGTGACAGGGTATAATTTCCACTTGTGGACAATCTCATACGAGTACCAATGCTCACTGGCGGTTTATCTGGTCCTACTCGGCCTTGCATCCGTCAGACCTATGGTACGGCTGGTGGCAATCACCTGCCTGAGCGCCGCATTCATGTGGTTCGGCTCACCTATATTATCGGCCTTTCTTGCTGGTCTCGGGTTTGCGGAACTCGATATACTACGTGAAGCGTCACGGGATTCATTGATGGCTGGGCAGAAGAGAAAACCGACCACCCTTGTCAGAAACTGTGCCAATATCCTCACCGGCTTGCTCTTTGTGAGCGGGATTTACTTGTTGTGCCTCCCACAAGACTCAAATTTTCCACCTGACTTCTCGTTTCAATCCTCCCTCAAGCTACCGTTCTATGTAGATCCCGAGATCCGCATCCGGGGATGGCACGCTGTTGGGGCGATCCTTGTTGTTGGAACGCTCAGACATCTTCGATTCCTGCGAATTCCGCTAGAGACTCGTCTGGCCCAATTCCTCGGGATGATCTCTTTTTCACTGTATCTGTTTCATCCTTTATTCATCATGGTCATGCGCAATCGCATCCTGCAGACTGTGTGCCATTATCTGTGGGGGACGGATTTCTGGCAGACGCAGCAGGATGAGTCCGCCTGGCATGTAATCATTCTGGCGTGGAGTGCCGCTGCGTCGGTTCTTTTTCCGCCGTTAATTCTGGCATCTATGTATATGGCCAAGATTGTAGACCGGAAGTCGGTTGCTTGGTCGTATCAAGTGGAAAACCTCGTCAGCCGTGCTAGCAGGTGACCGCAGTGGGTCTTTGGATATACACTAGAACTTTTTTTGTTTTGCCGAAATTGAATCATTTAGGACTACTTTCAAGCCTCGCGGCAGGAGGGGTGGCTTTGAAGTGGGAGCAGAAGATCTTACGTGGGTTGGCGTTCCTCCGCATTCACCCGCAGCATGAAGATCATCACCTAGTTTAGTAGATCTGCACTAATTCATGCCTGCCTTTCTGATGCATTAGCTGCAGACAGCGATCATGATTAGCCAGCCTTGTCAGCACAACCGGATTACCCCTCTTAACTCACTTTCCATCCTCCCACTATACTCCCAGCCCGGTCGGCATAACTCTGAAAGTAGTTTTCGTGCCCGAAATTGCAGATCAATGCATACTATGACCGACGTTGTCAGCACGGGCTCGTAACCAACTCCGAGGTACCGAATCCGTGTCCGAGCAGGAGCCGCACATCAGGCGTGCCAAACTGTAAGCTGACAGGAAGGGCTCGGCAGAGGATCGAGCACAGGGGCAGTGGATGAGGAGAACGCAATAGTTAATGGAAGGTGAAGCGATCAATACGACAACTTGGCCTTCAGTTAGATCTGCACATGGTGCCAAGTGTAGCTATGCGTCATCGCTGGGGCTGAGCATACAGAATTGGTGTACTCGGGTAAATCCGTTATGAACAGCAACAAGCTGGATCTCCAGTCGTGACCTACTGAACTCCAATGAATATACCTGGGAAATATTGAGGGTATACTGGAATTTTCAATAGCTGCCGCAACCACAATGCGGCGCGTTCTATTGTCGCTTGTACTATCTCTTTCACTCCTCTTCATCTTCTACAAAACCAAGCACATCGGAGACTACACCATTCGAGTTGCCACGCCTGGATTGAATCTGGGGAAGCACATAACCGTATCGAGCTCCAAAACCGACCGATTTCGTCCCCTCAGACTGACCGAATGCACCGACTCAACCCCCGGATACTACGCGCCATGTGTGGCTCGGACACTACCGAATGTAGTATCCGCTGAGGAGCTGATCTACCCTGCCTTTACCATAAACCCTCCAATATTCGCTACGTCCCGTCCTCACGATGCAGAACGGTGGTGGAACACGACGTGGATGATGTGGGAGCGAGCTTATGAGATGAAAGGTCGAGTGCGTTATCCTGAAAAGCACGGTCAGATATATGTGAGTGTACACATCCCTGCACAAGAGACAGATACTTATATTCCAGGTATTTGAAAATGTTACCCTATCTGCTTCTACACCCTTCGACCAGTGGATAATGCAAGCCTGCATGTCCGGCCTCGCCACAACCTCTCATGTTGTACCTAGCAGCGACGAGCCCACCCATGACAGCGTGCTGCTGGCAAATTTCCCAGACTCTTGGTCGATGCAGCACTTTCTCGACCGTGGCATGCGGGCAGTCGCTCAGTCGCGGGACCATCAGACGCAGTACGTAGCTACCGGGCGCAAGGGACACAAGTCCGTCGAGGAGTTTTGGTCATACCTCGGATATCCCGCAGACCAGGTGTTGCATAGCGATACAAGTTTTGTCGCATCGCAGCTAATATGGAGCTGTCGTGCACCGCTTATCCACCCGTGGCTGACACAGAGATCCCTTTTGCTACTCAGTCCTGATAGTCTCCAGCCAGTGGAAAATTCAAACCGAAAAGTAATTCTATACATGACGCGATCGAACGGACTGATCCTCAATGCTGGCAGAGAAATCCTCAACGAGAATATTCTCCTGGCAGATATCCAATCACTTCTCGATAAGAGAGGGAAAAGGGAAGAACTAAAAATCTTCAACCACGAGGATTTCCCCAGCACTGACGCGCTGATGCGCTATGTTCATCGGAACGTGAAAGCGGTGATTGGCCCACATGGAAGCGCTCTGCATAATCATTTCTGGGCTGCGGAGGATACACTGTTAATCGAATTTATGCCAACATCCAGGCCGGACTTTGCTTTCTATGAGGCCGCAAGCATGCGGGATCAACCATATGCGGTAATGATGATAGACCCGGTGGATGATCAGCATAATATGGAGGTGGATGTACCTGCTTTGATTGAGATTTTGTCGGAGAGGTTGGACCAGCCACTGGAGGTGAGCGAGCGACTGAAGGCAGCGTATGATTGGGAGGCGGAAGAGCTGGGAGTTAATTAGCTTGTTCCTGTGTGTTATACCGGATTACCCGAAAGTAAGTTCGGTTGTCATACAGTCTAGGCGTCTTTATATTGTTTTGAGTTTACGTTTTCCTGTTGCTCTTTGACCTGACCCGTGGATACCGAGCCCTCTCTCGCTGTCCTCCCACTTGCTCCGTTGTGGTGAATACCAGACCCCTTAAGTATAAATCATATGACACCCATATGGCTCCGCCATATCTCGCACATGGCTACTGCATGACATCAACTCCAAGCCGTAAAATCTAGACAACTTCATTCACTTCCCAAAGCACCTGCTCTTGGATAAATGGAGCCTCCCACTGCCATAGTAGTCGGTATGAAGCACATCTCATCTTCTCCATCCTTCTCTAACTACTCAACAAACAGGTGGTGGTGCCGGCGGCGTCGCTGTCGCAGCACGCCTCGCCAAAAAGGGCTACAAAGTGACAGTGGTGGAGAAGAACGCAGACATCGGTGGACGCTGTTCTCTAATGCAAGAGAATGACTATGTGCGTCCCTCGATATATCCCAAGGCGATACTAACATCTGTAGCGCTTCGACCAAGGCCCATCCCTCCTTCTCATGCCGTCCTTCTTCCACCAAATATTTCAAGACCTAGACACCTCCATCTCCGATGAGGGCATCACCCTCCGCAAATGCGACCCTAGCTACCGCATCTGGTTCCCAGACCACGACCACATGGACTTGTCCACTGACATTCCATCGATGAAAGAACAAATAGAAGCCTATGAAGGACCTCACGGGTTCGAAGGATTCCTACGATTCTTGGTTGAATCCGGTCGACACTATACCTTGTCCTGTGAACATATCTTGCACCGTAACTTCGCAACCATCTGGAGTCTACTCCGATGGGATCTCCTCCTAGCTTTACCCAAACTCCACGTCTTCGAGAGCATCTATACTCGTGCAAGTCGCTACTTTCACTCCGATAAACTCCGCCAGGCATTCACATTCGCCAGTATGTACCTGGGCATGAGCCCGTTTGATGCTCCGGCGACATACTCTCTGCTACAGTATACCGAAATAACAGATGGGATATGGTATCCCGTTGGTGGATTCAGAACTGTGCCTCCCCCTTCCATCAACTTTCTCCTATCCGTGACTCCAAGTAACTGTTATATAGATCCTCGACGCCCTCGTCAAAATCAGCATCCGTCACAACACCACATACATCCTCAACACGCCCGTAACCTCCATCGCCCTCAGCGACGACCACAAGCACGTAACGGGGGTGCATCTCTCCAGCGGCAAATTCCTCCCCGCAGACATCGTAATCATCAACGCGGACCTAACCTACGCATACAACAACCTCCTCCCGAAAACCACCTACAGCGAATCCCTCCAAAACAAACCCACCTCATGCAGCAGCATCTCCTTCTACTGGGGGCTAGACACCACCCTCCCGAACCTCCAATCCCACAATATATTCCTTCCCCCTTCATCAAAATATAAATCCAGCTTCGACGCTATCTTCAAAACCCACCAAATCCCCGAACATCCCTCATTATACCTACACATCCCAAGTAGAATCGACCCCTCAGCTTCACCACCAAACACAGACGCTATCGTCGTCCTAGTCCCCGTCCCTCACCTTCCCTCCCCAACAACATCCTCCTCCTCATCATCAACATCCCCATTAAACCCCCACAACGCAACCGCCTACTGGCACACCACCACCCAAACCATCCGCGCCCTGATCCTCTCCACTATCCACGACCTCACAGGCAACGACATCGAACCACACATCGTATGCGAAAGGATCGAAACCCCACTAACCTGGAAAAACAGATACAACCTGGATCGCGGGGCGATACTCGGTCTTTCGCATTCATTTCTCAATGTGTTGTGCTTTAGGCCCAGGATTCAGCATGAGAGTATTCAGGGGTTGTTTTTCGTTGGGGCCAGTACGCATCCTGGGAGTGGGGTGCCGGTTGTGCTTGGGGGGAGTGGGGTTGTTGTTCGTATTATTGAGGAGTGGGTTGGGAGGGTGAAGAGGGGGGATCTAGGGAGAGGGGTAAAAGGGGGATTGGGGAGGAGGGGGGTGTGGGTTGGTGTTGTTGTTGTGGTGGTGGTGGTGGTGGTGGTGCGGGTGGAGATGGGGATGAGGATGGGTGAATGGTTTTGTGGGCTTGAGGAAGCATGGATGGAGAGCGGCGATGAGTCGACTTGGCGGGTGTTGCTGTGTGCTATTCTGGGGATTGGGCTGGTGCGGAATTTGTGTCTTGCTTGTATGGGGGTACCTGCTGAGCTGTAGACTCTTCTCCTGGGTGGTGGGGAGAGGCAGAGTGTGATTGTGTCTGTCTGTGGTATCATAGGGTAGCTTTATCGATGGATATAGCAGGATCTCTAGAGTGTTTACATAATGTAGTTGGCCATGCCGTAGGTTGATTCAATCCGCTGTAGGACAATGGTATGTTCAGTGCGAGTGTTATATGTACATTTACACTCAATATTATGATTAAGTACACTATACTCATACACCTTTCAAATATCGATCCGAAGAAATATATACCACATCAAGCATCTCGCGTGCTACGTGCATACTTGAAACCGTGTACCACCCATCTAGGACAGACTCAGCGCAACCACGGCACCGACTGCCGCGAGGACCGATCCCTCCATCACGCGCTCGCCATACCCAGAAGCGGCACTCTTCTTCGTGCTGCTGTCTCCACTGCTACTCCCGCCGGTGCTACTGACTCCGGAGCTGGATCCCGAGGCGGTAGCCGAATCCGACATCTTGGTGCCAGCAGTCATGTTCAGGCCAGTATCCTGCAAGTTGTAGAGAACGGTGCTGTTGCCGGAGAGTTCAATAGTGTCTGACAGACCGCTGTCGCTGGTGTACACATAGGAAGTGTCCCCCTTGTCGATAGTTCCAGCCGGGGCAGGGTAGCACTCGATCGTGATGTCCTTGTACTGAGCGTAGAAGTAGCCGTACTCCTTAATATCCGTGCTATCCCAGTCGATCAGACCACCAGCCCATTCAATGGTACCCAGTCCCTCGGCTTCCGAACCACCGGGCCAGATGGACATCTCCAGCCGAGACGGCGTCTGGGGGTACTGGTAGACACCCGAGGTAGCGTTGTAGGTGGAGTTCTTGGTCAGTGTGCGCATCACGGTGCCATCGATGAGCCATTCCAACACGTCGGGCTTCCAGTCGATGGTGTAGGTGTGCCATTCGTCAAAGGTGTTGCCGTTAGACACGGCGGCGTTGACTTCATTGGTATCTGGAATTGTCAGTTTGAAAGACCAGAAAGACAAGCTGCGAACATACAGTTTTCTACACCCTGGAAGTAAAAGTTGGTCTGCGCGCTCGACAGATTGTATCCAACCCATTCAAGGTCGATCTCATCAGAATCATCCGACATCAGAATGAAACCCGTCACGACACCTTGCGTCCGGCTGCTCTTGATCTTGGCCGACACCTTGCCATACCAGATGTAATGGTTGAGGGAGTACAGACTGCCCGTAGTGCCGTTGGGCATCGTCAACCACAGACTATCATTCTTGATCTTGGGGTAGCCGCTGTACACCCAATCGTATTCGGACGCGTTACCAAGGTAGTGGTCGTACAGGACTGCATTGTCCATGCTTGTGAACGAGTAGGTCTGGTTCTTGCAGATGGGCTCGGGCGTGCAGCTGTCGAGCGAGTACGATTCAAGAGGGTTGCAACCTCCCAGGCAGTAGGTTCCTACACCACATTGTCCACCTTGAAGATAATATGTCAGGATATGTGTGAATTACGAGGCATGGTGTGCTCACTGTAGCAGCACGGGTAATCTTCCGGACACTTGCTGTCGGTGCTGCAAGTCGGGGCAGAGGCCGAGGCGGTGGCCGCAGCCAGACAGGCCACGAACCATGCAGGAATGTGGCGCATATTGGGTCCGAACAAGAATGCTATGCCGCAGTCAAGGGGTGTGGCAGAGGACTGCCAAAAAGGACTGCCGGGGAGAATACACTGGGTACAGTGAAAAGATGAAACAACAGCGTAGTTTCAGTAGCAAAGGAACGGCGGGTTCAGCATTATATTGAGGGAAAATCCCGCATGTCATTTATTCCCCGAACCGACCGGTCAAAAGGGGGAACGTGTGGGACAAGGCGACAGCCAAACGATAGCAGACCGAAAGCCCGCAGATATCGCTTAAGCATATTGAAATTGGATAATCGCATACAAATTTTTTGAGTAGGACGGACCAACTAACCCGAAAAGTATTGGTGAACAGTGGCAATGACGAGTGGTATCACTTTTATGGGTACACTAAATGTCTTGGAGAGGCCCGCTGAAGATAACATGTTGATGGCGCTCGGCGATACCATGGTAGAGACGGGTCATATCTGGGTCAGGTCACCGGGGGGGAGTCTCATCACAGTAACTCATAAGCGAGCTCGCAGCCCTCCATATCCGCTACGCAGGGACATTTGTACTTCATTGTGACCTTCCCCGGTGATCGTACGTCCGAGCAATTGGATCGAATCTGCACGAATGGCAGGTCTTCATGCTGGGGAAATTGTTTCACGCCTGCCGAGGGCGACCAATCCGAGCTAGGCAGCAGGATTCTCCTGCGCCATTGTTGGGTCAAGCTTTGCTAGTGCCTGCGCTAGTACAGACTAACCAGCGCCATCCCAGGGGTATTGCGCGTCTCCGTCATTTGTTATCAGAAAGCGGTGATCAATAATTAATTCTAAACAGCGGCGTAGGAGATGGACTGATATGGCATGTAGCCCCTGCGCCATGTTATTTCGCAGAGTGTTCGTCTCGGTCCTGCGTAGATCAACGGGGCGCCGAAATTGAGTTGTCCGCTTCCTGGGGAAATATTTTATGCCGAAAACAGCCGCTATTCCGAACGGCTTGCATTTTTTCACGGTGGGTCTGGCCGTCGGACTTCATTGGCGATGATTCTTCAGTAATTATCCATGTCTCACCCGGGATCAGCTGGTCAGAAGATGTCCCTGATTCTCTGGTGTTCTAAAGTTCCCGCCCGAATCCGGTCACACCGTTAGCGAGATGACCCCTGGAAGAATATGCAGCCGGGGGATGTACTAAGTAAGCATTCACCGTAGTGGGCCAAAGATCTCCTAACACCAATTGGGGGAACTGAGCAAAGCCATGCCTGATTCACCCACGTTCTTGACTTCTCGTGCACCCCCTTGTCAGCTTTCCATGAATCATAATTTGGACCAGCTAGGAACTCCGGATGCGATGCCGAAAGCCGTCCCGAAGCTTGGCTAAAGCTTGTCTCAGCCATAAACTCAGTCAGTTCCTGATGTCTCACAAGCGTTCATTGACCGTGGAACCCAAGATAACTGAGACATGTTCTACCCACGCTAGTTCGGCCTGTCATAGGCAGTGCTGAAAGACAGAGTAGCACGTGTTTCGCTCCCTCAAATAGATCGTAAGATGCTGCTAGCCGTTAATGACGCTAAAACCGTTCTCGTCGTCCACTCATGCTGTCCAGTTAAGGGGCAATATAGAAGATGAAATATAACCAGTTTTGAAAGAGGCGTACCACAGGTCGAAAACCAGTATCTTCCTCCGATGCTCTCCGTAAGTTGCGGGGAACCAGAGGAATGCCTGCGCGTCTCCAACTAGCACCGCACGGGCTCATTTTTAGGCTGCAACTATTTCTTCAAGACTTGCCTTGGTCAGCTATCGTTTGGTTGTGTATCGGAAGACATAGCCCTATGTAATTCATTCGGCTTCTTAATTGGAAACTCGTCCTTAAGAAGCGACCTTGGTAGATCGAGAAACACCCCTCGTAGGGACCCAAATATCCGAGCCATCGCAATCCAATATTGAACCCGGTAAACACTGGGTTTGGAGTATATGTAGTTGGATAGCCATGGGGCATAAAATCGATTTTTGTTATCGAACGATGGAAAGCCAAAGACGGGGTAGACGGAGACGGAGATCAAGTGAAGGAAGGAGGGAATAGATGAAAGCATCGTCGCCCTCGCGTGACTCGGTCACCTGCGGATCAGGTGATTCCTCGGACCAATTCTACCAACAATCATGTCCAGCTATGATACTTCTATCTTTAAGATCCTATCACCATGCATTCCACTATCCTTCATGGGCTAAAGTACCACAAATTACCAGCTCGGACAAGCCATGACCAGGGATCCCTAACCCATGGTGAGCACCGTGCAACGGAGGTACTAAAGTTTGCTCAACGTGTGCCATGGCCAGCACGTCCATCCCTCAGATTTTCCCAGGTGTGTACTGACAGCTGGATGATATTGTCAGAATCCTACAAGCTGAAGCAACATACTGAGAGTATGGGCACAAGCTTTACGAAGAGACATGGGCGCTATTTGCTGATGAAGCTGATGAAGACAACGAGGTGTGAGGAATAGCTATCGTCAGCATCCCGCCAGTTGATAAGCATCTTCATCTGGCTTGATCGCTCACCCATTTGGGATGAAATGTCAGATCGGCCGCAAGGGAATGTTCTCAACGCTTTTGTTGGTACCAATGTCTGTTGGATCCACTTACCCTCCGCATGTCTCCGCAACCACTTGAGATCGGGCATGCGGCTGACGGCCCGGAATAAACTCTCAACGTTGAACGCCGTCGCTACAGGTTTATTGCTGGTTGCAAGTGGTTGTCTATCCAGCTTGCCCCTATAAAACTTCAATCTGCTGTTCTCATCCTTGGGGAATAAACGTTGTCCTTAGCGCTTACGGCCCAACAGTTCTTGTTGTCGGCATATCGGCATCCCGTTCTTTCCGACCGTCAGATTATATACCAGTGTCCAAGAACATCCATTTTGGAGCATTTCGACCACACCCGAGGGAATATTTGCAACAGAGTCGCGCAATCATGAATATACCTCTTACCACTCCCGAAGTACCGCCACAATTCCTCAAGTCGGCGTTCCTCGTCGGACACATCCCCCAGCGCACTCTGGCAGCTGAACCGCGCGTGTCCTACACTCTGTACATCCCTCCCACACATTATAATCCAGACCCCAACCGCGTCTCTAAATCCAGCCCTTACGACAAAGCCAAGCTTCCCTTGCTGGTCAATATCCACGGCACAAGCCGCAAAACCTCCATCCGACCTGAGCAGGCCTTCTTTGCGGAATCGACACCCTGTGCCATCCTCGCCCCGCTTTTCCCCGCGAACATCGATGGACCGAATGATCTCGACTCATACAAGGTGCTGCGTTCAGCGACACTGCGCTCCGATCTTGCGCTTCTGGCAATTCTAGATGAAGTGGCTACAGTATGGCCTGGAATTGACACAGAGAAGGTCTTCTTAGCGGGGTTTTCTGGTGGAGGGCAATTTGCGCATCGGTTTCTCTACGTGCACCCGGAGCGACTAGCGGCCGTGAGCGTCGGTGCCCCGGGCAAGGTCACGATGCTTGATGAGCAACTGGCATGGCCAAGTGGGATTGCTAATTTTCAGGAGGTGTTCGGTAAAGGGCTAGACAAGGATATGATGAGGAACGTGCAGGTTCAGCTAGTCATTGGAAGTCAAGACGTGAAGGTCCATGGGGGAAAGGAGTTCTGGGAGTGGGCGAAAAAAATGATGGCCCAACGAATGGCTGCGGAAAAGGCATCCGAGAAGGACAGTGGCAACGAGAAGATGGGAAAGCGGGAGGTAGTGATGATGGACCAGGGACGATCGCAGTCGCTACAGCAGTTGCAGAGCAGTTGGAAGGCAGATGGTATTGAGGCTCAGCTGGACGTGGTGGATGGAGTGGCACATAGCTCAGTGGGAGTGCAGGAATGTGTATTGAGCTATCTGCAACCACTGATACAAAAGCGCGGCTGAGGCCGGATGTCAAAAATGGAATAACCAATCCAAACGGTGGGATATTACCGATTAGAGACTATGCCAACACTCGGAAGTGTATGTCGGGAAATGGCCGGGGATCTCCTGACGCCGGGGATTTCCGTTCCCCGCATGTTGCTTCGCTTTTAGCGCGCTTATCAATCACCTTGCCTGTTAGCCCATTCACCAAGTCTCTCGCGCTCCTTTATAAATACCTCTAAATAGCTACTGTGCAAAAAGTACACTTCAAGTACGACCTCGCACTGACCTGGCAAGAACCTTCCACTCGGTCTGCACTCGGAATAGCGCAGAATACCGACCGGCATCTCACCAGAATGGCCACCCCATCAAACACAGCGCTCGTTGTCCGCATGACAGATGGCCAATCACCCAAGCTGTCCAAAGAAAAGGTCTCCCTGCCATCTCTAGCCTCGAATCAAGTGTTGGTCAAGGTGTCGCATGCCGCACAAAATCCGACCGATGGTTAGTTCACCTCCCAATCCAATCCTACCTGTCCTGCATTCAACCCCACTCACACACAATAGTGCAATCCTTCGATAGTAACGCGTTTGGCGACGGCGCAGTTCTCGGATGCGACTTTGTCGGCGAGGTTATTGAGATAGGCAGTGAGGTTACCCGACTCGCCAAAGGCGATATTATTGCTGGCTTAGTCTGGGGAGGTATGTAGTCACCGCATTCACGTGAGGAATTACGCTGACGCGTTCCTCAATGCAGGAGAGATCAAAGGTCTAGGCGCATACAGCCAATATTGTCTAGCAGACGAACGAATTTCATTTAAACTACCTACCAACAGCAACATCTCGCGCGCAGAAGCCAGCACTATTCCCCTCGCCGCAGCTACAGCATGGCTAGCTCTATTTTCCAAAAGCTGTCTTGCACTCAATCGTAACCCATCCAAGGGTACCAGGATCCTGGTATGGGGTGGTAGCTGTAAGTCCCCATGACACTGAACCAAGTACAATACTGACTTAGTTTAGCAAGCGTCGGCCTATACACCATCCAACTCGCCTCTCTCTGCGGCTTCGAAGTAGTGACGACATGCAGCCCCAAGCACTTCAACCTGGTCTGCGCATCTGGTG